GCATCTTTTTTTTTTTTTTTTTTTTTTTTTAAAGATGACCGGTAAGGGGATCTTAACCCTTGGCTTGGTGTTGTCAGCACCACGCTCAGCCAGTGAGCGAACCGGCCATCCCTATATGGGATCCGAACCCGGGGCCTTGGTGTTATCAGCACCGCACTCTCCCGAGTGAGCCACGGGCCGGCCCCCGGTCATCTTTTAAAAAATTAAAAAATAAATAATGATAATAATAAAGGATTCCCTGACACCCAGGTTGGCCATTTGAAAGTATCTTCTACATCTACAGGGCAAAGAAGCTTTGCAGTTTGTTGCCAAACTACCACGGGTATCATGGTTTTGGAGGAGGAAGCAGCTGCACAGATCCTCTTGTCCACTTCACATAGTATTTCAAACGCTCCCCTATTCACTCCCCCCACACTCATAGCCATAGCTTTCTCCCTATTTTAGCCCCCAAATGCAGGGGATACATCATTACAATACAAGTCTAGCACCCTTTCCTCCCAACTCTGCAGCTCTAGTACCTAGAAGATATAAATACAAATCATTCAGTGTAAGTTTCAAAACAGTCCTTCCTTTCTCTGCACATGTTTATATGTATATAATAAATATGAGTATACCTATCAACAGAAGTAAAAACTCTTAATGTTGTCTAGGATTTCATAGAAATATAACACTAATAGTTAATATTTATTGAATGTTTACTATGTGTTAGGCCCTGCAATACTGCATTATTTGGTTTAATCTTCCCAGCAAGTATGAGAAGGTACTATTATTCCTATTTCACAGATGTGGAAATTGAGGCTCAAGGCTGATAAATCACTAGTCTAAGAGTTATATAACTAAGAAGTGAAGGAGCTGGGATCTGAACCCAGTTCTTCTGCTATATGAGGTTACTTTACCATAAAGAATGTGTATTGCTTCTCTTAGATTCAGACACTAACATACTAATTCATTCATTCAACAAACATTTATTGAATACCTACTTTGTTTCAGGCCCTGTGCTAAGGACACAACAGTAAAACATAAAGACAGATGGAAAAAAAAAAAAAAAGACAGATGGGGCATGGTGAGGCTAAGACTAGAGAGGTCAGTAGGGCCTTGTAGGCCATGGTGAGGATTGTAAACTTTATCCTAAAAACAGTGGGGAAGTTGGGGTAAAGGAGAGTAGTAAGTGTCACATGACAAACATCTGCATTCTTGGGGACTACTCTAGCTGCTAAGGAATAACAAATTGGAGATGGAAAAGGGGAAGAAGGGAGATCAATTAGCAGGTCATTTGACAGTGGCAGTAGAGATGGAGAAAAGTAAGCTGACTGATCCACCTCAAACTAATACGCTTGGGGTTGTAAATATTTACATGATTATAAAACTTCAAAACTAGGCTGGCCGGTTAGCTCAGTTGGCTCAAGTGCTGTGTCATAACACCAAGGTTAAGGCTTTGGATCCCTGTACCCACCAGCCACCAAAAAAAAAAAAAAAAAAAAAAACACAGAAAGGAGTTGCCTGGTATCTGACCAGTTTGCTCCTGTGACCCAGCAAGACTCTCAAAGTGAAAAGCAAGTTTGAGGTCTGGCCCATGGCTCACTTTGGAGAGTGTGGTGCTGATAACACCAAGGCCACGGGTTCAGATCCCTATGTAGGCATAGCTGGTTAGCTCACTTGGGAGAGCGTGGTGCTGACAACACCAAGTCATGGGTTAAGATGCCTTTACTGGTCATCTTTAAA